TTCTTTCTTTCTTTCTTTCTTTCTTTCTTTCTTTCTTTCTTTCTTTCCTTCCTTCCTTCCTTCCTTCCTTCCTTCCTTCCTTCCTTCCTTTCCTTCCTTCCTTCCTCCCTCCCTCCCATCCATCCATCCATCCATCCATCCATCCATCCATCCATCCGACTGGCTCAATATTGCCTTCTGCTTTTACCTCTTTTGATCCTGCCATCTCTTGCCAAACAGCCATGAGGTTGTACACTTGTAACAAATATTGGCAATTCCCCACTTTTGCTGCCTCGACCTCCTGCTACTGTCATGCCAAGGGACTCGTGTGGCTCCTTCTTCACTGTGATATGCTTCTCTTGGCAGGTCACACATTGTGAGAGGTCCTACAAAAACAACAACAACAACAACAAACGAGAGTTTAGGCACACATTTAATTTAGGTTAAGCCTGAAGGAGGGAAGCCAAATGATCTGCACATGCAGATCCTGATGGAGAACAAATAGTCATGTAAATTTTGCCAGCACCCATTAACTGTAGCTCAACAATTTTTAAATATTGAAATATGCTTGCAAAAAACATGCACTGTGGGAGACTGCATTTTGAAATATATTTCACAGAAGATTTCATACCTAACGGAACGCATTAAGGATAATAGTTTTTAGAACGGCATATATTAGAGTGGTTCACAACACAACTGTTATTACAGAAAATTAAGTATATCAATGCAAGTGGATTTTCTTAAAAAACATTTTGCAAATGAATTACTGTCACAGTGATACTGACAAGATGTTTCATTTAAAAAGACTCATATAGTTATTTAAATTAAGACACTGTCATTCCCTCCCCTCAAAGATTCAGGAACTTAAGTGCTCCTCCACAAACCTTCTTACAAATACAAAATATTGGTGCTCTCCCCAATCAACCTCTCTGATCTAAAATTCTTTTTTTTTTTTGCTGTGTGGATTGTATAACAATACAATATACTATACAATTTGGAGGGGGGGATATGTGTGCATTTGGAAATGGTACTTTTGGCTCTGAATGTACGTTTCAAGTTGAGAAATTGTATAGTGAGAGGTGGCACATTCCTATCTATTCTGCTGGGGTATTTTAAGTGCCTGCCCAATATTTTTAATTATAAAAATTAACAGATGCCTGTGGGAATAGCTATGCTATCCAGTAGAGGGTGCATTTTTCCAACTTCCTAGGCATCTAATCATACAATATGTTTAACCTTAACAAAAATGTATGGACCATGTCATTCTTTCAGCAATCAACATTGTAGAGGTAAGGGGTAACTCCTGTTTTTTTTTCCGTTTTTTTTTCTTAATTTCCCAATTTTGGGTTCATTCCATTTTAGTTTGCAATTTCTTAAAAGGAATATACATAAAAAGTTTTTCACATCTTAATATGCATTTTCCTTCAATATACCTATTTTATACGTTGGTTTGCTTAATAAGTGCATTTAAAAAACACCCAGTTCCCTAATACATTATTTTTATATATTATTTTTTATTAATACACTAAATTTTATGTGGATATTTCCTCCCGTATGGATTTCAATACCTAGTTTACTGGAAAACCGTATTAAAAATTCTGTAAAGATACGAACACTGAAATGCACTGAATGCATTTCAATTCATTTATTTGTTTAGGAAACGCAGAGGTAGATTTTTATTAGAATATACATTTAAATAATATCTTGTCCGTTCCCAAACTTACCTTATGTGGGCTTGGCCTGTTGCTGTGATATAGCTGATAGGATTGAAGATGACTGGTAAGATGGGTTCCTCCATCTCTCAGAATGCTTACAATTTGGGACTTGGTAGGCCTGGAAATGGTTAAGTTCACCCTCTCGCCACTGGCCTGCAAATTCACATGAAACATGAATGGAGGAGGATTGGGGCATAAACACTGGCTAGCTCTGAGAGCAAAGAATAGTCAAAATACAGGCAGTCTTCGCTTAGTGACTGTTTCAAGTTACAACAAACCCACTAAAAGCCACTTAGGAGCCAGTTTTGCCATTTCGTTGCAATTTCACACCCTCACACACCATGGTCACATGACTTATTTCAGTGCTTGGCAACCAGCTCACTTTTATTGCCAGTTCAGCATTCCTCAGTCATGGGACTATGACTCACAATGTTTTTTTGCTGGTTCTGGAGTTTTTATTTGGTTTCCAGCAAAAAAAATAAATCACATAAAAATACATTGATTCACTAAACGACTGTAGCATTCACTTAACAATTGCTCCAGAAAAAGATGCAAAATTGTGTCCAGTCATGTGGGTGCCTCAATTTATAACATCATGATTGACAAAATAAATTCTGGGGTTTACTATGGTCTTAAGTTGAGGACTACCTGATTTTCTATTCATGAACCAGCCATGAAGACTATATTGTATGTATGAAGGAAATCAACACTTTTTCTGAGGACCTAATACTGGTCAGACTCTATTTTCTCCACATAATAACACAATCCATATTCTGGCATGACAGAGGACTAGTTCAATCAGTTTGCCAGCACCTGATTTCACTTTCTGGTTGCTGGTTGCTATCTCAGAAATTGAATTATTAAGGGAGAAAAGGAAAAACTTATCAAGTTTTCTAGTCCACGGAATCTAAACCCCAATGGCTGTGCAGAACAAGCCAAGGGCATCCCAGGATACTGTTTCATGACTCAAGAGATCTACAGATAGCTTTCCAACTTTACCATGGAAACCAGCTTGTGTGGGGAGGGAAAAAGGGAGAAAGGTTTGAAAAAACAATGCTATATAATCAATAGAGTTGTGCAGTGCTTTGGTTTCAAAACAAAACAAAAACCAGCTCTTTTCTTGGGCACAATCCCAGGAAAACACAACTTTAAGGAGTTGCCGGCAGGTGCTACATGCCATATGCCTTCTGACTCACCTTTCCTCCTCTGAATCTGCAATGCTACACAACCCTATTTATTATTGCAGGTGTCTCTACTAATCATTCCCGTATACAATGTTTACCAATTTATGTGTTTGTTACTAAGGTTTTGTTTGAATGCAATCTGGGGCATCAACAGTGGTGGTATTCTACCAGTTCAGCCCAGTTCTGCTGAGCCAGTAGCGGCAATGAGCAGCGAAGACCAAACCAATTCTCGCTGCCACTCTGTTGTTGGGCCCACCTGCCCGCCCGGGCTCCCATACTCACCTTTATCCTGTGCTTTTGAAGCGCAGCTGCTTTGTGTGGCACAGCAGAATGCCGTGCGGCAGCTGCTGAAGTGACCGGGAAAGTGCAGGCTTGCAGGAGGTGAGTTGGAACGCCTCTGTGCCTGCGCAAAGTGCATGTTTGGTACACACGCACAAACAAGTGTGTGCATGCGCGCCAAGTGCGCCCACCAAGCCACACCCACTGAACCGGTGGTAAAATGTTTTAAATCCCACCACTGGGCATCAACATCCTTGATTTTTAGAAGGCCAGCCTTCTTTAATCTGGCAACTGGCAGGTGTATTAAGGCAAGAAACCCCATCATTCCCAACCACCCCGGTCCAGCTTGGGCAAATCACAGTACACAAAAGAGAGTGAATCCCCAGCTACCGGATTTTACCTGGATAATATGAGCAGCCAGTTCAGGTGTGCCGTGCTTCAGGTCATGCCCATTGATAGCCAACACCTTGTCGTTGCTACAGAGCCGGCCATCCTGAGCAGCCAACCCCCCTTCCAGCAGGTCAAGAATAAATACTCCTGGCTCATCTGTTCTGCGCACCAGCTTAATGCCAAGCTGTTCACTGGAGTCTCGCTTGTGTAAGGTCAGATGGAAGCTATCCTCTCTCTGGGGAGGGCTATCACTATGATTGTGTGTTCGGCTTACGAATCGTCTCTCTCGGAGGACAGTGAGATGCAGTGATGTACAGGGCTGGGAAAGGATGGCCCTGGCATGGTTGTGAGACACGTTACTGATGTCAAAGTTATTCACCTGAAAGAAAAGAAGCAGAAAAGAAACGTTGGACTTTGTGACAATATGCCCTATTCAATGTTCCAGACGGGCATCTGTTTCCAGGACATGCCATTTATTTCTATACCCTTTTTGGCTCCCATTTCCCAGTTTCTCTGTCTGTTCCTGCAATAATCAGCATGACTACATTTAGGTCAAGGATTTTGCATTTCTGGAAGTTTTCCCACCATCTTTTCTGCATGAAAGCTGCTGTTCTGGGAGCATAAGGTTAAGCATTCAGGGAATGAGTGAGCTATTAATATACAGAATTCGCACTTTGTAAGAATGAAGCCAAATGTACTGAACGTTTTTCACAAATATTCTTGGCAATTTCAAGAACAACCTTTGGGGAACATTTTTTTTCTTTTGCAGCTAGGTAGATCTTTTGAAAAGATCTACATATTTACCTATATTAGTCTGTTTTCACCATTACTGATAGCCAGGAATGCTAATAGTACACTCTGTATAATGAATTTATCCTATCCTTATCAGCTTTCCTCAACTCGGTGCCTTCCACAGGTATTGTACTACATTTCCCCAGTTACATTAGATTGAGGGGAGCTAGTGCCACATGATGAGGAAGGAAAATAAAGAAGAACCCTGAAGGAAAGAGCCTGAAACATTAGAAGAAAAGAAGCTGTAGTATCACTTAATAGGATGAAAAAGACCAATCCAAAATCTAAACCACTAAATGTGTTGACTAGATGTGTTGACTAGATTAGAATAATCATTGAGACTCAAACAACTGTTTCCTTTTCACATTCTGTGTGAAATAGCTATTTGCCACATTCTTGAGTATTAGTAAAGGCGTAAAAAATACATTCTACTTCTTTCTCTTTTAATCTATTTTTCTCTCTTTTAATTCACAATGTGCTTCAGTATTCCCAAAGCATGTTAATTAAACTTTGTGACATGTCTCCATTTCTCACTTTTCCTGCCAGTAGAGAACATATATTCTCAGAGAACTGAAATTTGGGGGAAATTTGGCAAAATCCTTCTCAATTGCATATTTATGAGCTTTTATTTAAACTTTAAAGGGAAATGAAGGAACAGAGTTTACCAAAGCAAAATAATGATAGTTCAATGATATTGGTAATAGTTGCATAACATAACATAACATAAAGGGAATTTAAGAGACACAATAAATATAGAAAGAGGATCTATTCAGGAAGTCCAAGTGATTTTAGAAAGCAACTTTAGAATTCTTTCTTGCCTTATTTTGTCACTGTAGCTCGTCTTCAGCTTTGATTGGCGATATTAGGCTAAACCTATGCACAAATACTGACTTCAGGGATGGTATTGGAATGATTTTATGCAGCCTAAGGTAAGCTCAGCAAGCAGAAAGCGGAATCCAATCTCTTTTCCAATGTTGTATTTTTGTGCTACTTCTCACACTCAAGCATTTTCATCAACCTAGAATAAATACCTTGGATACACCTCTTGAATTAAGTGATGCTTTGGTAGCACCCTAACTCTTTTCCTATTCTAAGCAGGCACCTTAGACAACATTCAATAGAACTAATTAGGAAATAATAAACATCCTATTAGTCATCTCTCAAGCTATCAATTCTTTTTGCGTATTTGAACTGTTAAAAGGACTGCTATCTTTGAACAAATTTGTTGAAACCTTCACTAGGCATAAGAATATAAGGAAAGTCTGGATGGATCGTAGCGAGACAAATGGCCAACTGGTCAACATCTCTTCTGTTGGTACCAACTATATATATCATATATTTGGGAAGCTCACAAGGCTAGAGTGGAGGGTGATGCCCCTTTTCACTGCTGCTTTCCAACAACCAGTATTTAGAGTATGCACCCTACAGTTCAGCAGCCACTGACTGTCTTATCTTCCATGATCCTGACTAGTCCCCTTAAAAAAAACCTCTATCTGAGGATCACCTGCTAAATTGAAAGGAAGCAAGAAGACAAGAGAAGCAGTAGAGATGCAACCATCTCTGACACAATATCTCTCAGTTCGGTGGGAGAAAATGTTCTGTTCAATGGCGACATTCAGGATGACATTCTCTATGGCCTTCTTTGCAGTCTGTAAAATTGCTTCTGTCTTGTTGTGCTCAAGAGAGAGCCTCTGGGGAAGGAAAAAGCAGCAGTACAGCAGGAAATTTGTGGGGGGAGGCAAGACTTGGCTTGAATTGATCCTTCCAATAGGTTATCAACCTGAGGAACTGGTAATTGTAAAACTTCCATAATGGATTTCCTGAAACTCCAATAAGATTTTCCATCCTCCATCGGCCTTCTTCCTCATATAAAATGCAAGACCTCATTCTAATTTGAGAAGGCATGGACACCCACAAAATCTTAATCCTAATCTCTTAGAATTTTTATGAAAAAGGAAGACACGAACATGATTTATAAACAAAAATGACATTGCTGTATTCTTCCAATGTATTATACCAGGGGTGTCCAACCTTGGCAACTTTAAGACTTGTGGACTTCAACTCCCAGAATTCCTCAGCCAGCACAGCTGGCTGAGGAATTCTGGGAGTTG